TATTTTATGAATATTATTCTGAACTAATTCATAGCAGAATATGTGACAGATGTCATAGTAAAGGGACCAGCAATAGGGCATGTGCCTGAACCAAGGATGTGGCTTTCCATGGTTGGACTTTCTCAATTAGAATTGACCTGCAAGATGGCAGATAAGGAGTAGCCATCCAGTTGAACTCTCCCAACATTCTCTTCCAAAGAACTTTAAAATAACACCTTAAATCAAATTTTGGAATGGCAGTGCCAACAGAAGGTCACAGTGAAACATGTTTCCAGACTTAGAAAGCTTAAGAGGGTAGTAGAAGAAGTCTATGACTCAAGGTGTCCAAAGCCCACGTGGCAGCTGCAACAATAGCCACAGCAGCCTTGGGAGCTCTCAGCCCAGAGATGATTAGGGATTGAGACAACTGGTCAGAAAGAGATTACAGGGACCCTTTGCTGGCACTGAGTACAGCTGGCATTGATTGGCAACTCTATTGCCCATACATAGTTCTGAGTCATAGTTCCAGTGCAGAGAGGAGCACTAGGGTTGGTCACAAGGGAACAGGGGCCCTGGTCACAATTCCAAAACAGAGAGCACTAGAGCTTGTGGCTTCAGGGAACCAGAGGCCCTTTCTAAGTAAGGACCAGAGCACAGACCAGTAAAGCAGTAACCACGCTTATCTCAGGATCATACCACCTTAGAAACACCAAAAACTTGCAGACCCTCAAAACTAGCTCTGAAACAGCAGCACAAAAAAAAAAAAATAGCCTGAAGCTTGGGATAGTGCCTGCCAACCCCAAGGTGATCAGAGCCCAACTTTAACATAAAGGTCAGAGTCAAAAAGTTGGCTGGAAAAATGAGCAAACAACAACAACCAAAAAAAAAAAAAAGAATTTGACCATAAAAAGCTACTTTACAGTGGCAGGGAAGACCAAGGCATAAACACAGGAGATGATAACAAGTGAAAGCAGCTACAAAGAAAACCTCAAAGAAAAATGCTAATTGGACCCAAACCCAACAAGAATTCCTGGAAGAGTTAAAGAAAGAAACAAGAGTGGTAGAGGAAAAATTGGGAAAAGAAATGAGAGTGATGTAAGAAAATTATGAAAAGAGAATTAACAGCTTGGTAAAAGGGGCACCAAGAAATACTGAAGAAAATAACACCTTAAAAAACAGAATTGGTCTAATGGTTTAAAAAAAGGCAATAAAATTTAGTGAAGAAAATAATTCCTTAAAAAATAGAATTAGGCAAGTGGAAACTAATGTCTCCATGAGACATCAGGAAACAATAAAACAAAGTTAAAAGAATGAGAAAAAGAAGAAAATGTGAAATATTTCATTTGAAAAATTGACCTGGATAATAGATCAAGAAGGGATAATTTAAGAATTAATGGACAATCTGAAAAGCCGTGTGTGTGTGTGTGTGTGTGTGTGTGTGTGTGTGTGTGTACATATAGGCCTAGACATAATATTTCAAGTAATCATCAAGGAAAACTGCCCTGATATCTTAGATTCAGAGGGCAAAATAGAAACTGAAGAAATCCACCAATCACCTCCTGAAAGAGACACCAAAATGAAAACTCCCAGGAATATTAGAGCCAAATTCCAGAGCTCCTAGATTGAAGAAAAAAATACTTCAAGCAGCCAGAAAGAAACAACTGAAATATCAAGGATCCATAGTCAGGATCACATAAGATTTAACAGCTTCCAAGCTAAAGGAGCAGAGGGCTTGGAACGTGATATACTAGAAGGAAAAGAAGCTAGAATTACAACCAAGAATAACCTGCCCAGAAAAACTGAGAGTAGTCTTTCAAGGGAAAAAATGGAAACTGAATGAAATAGATGACTTTCAAACATTCCTGATGAAAAGATCATAGCTGAATAGAAAATGTGATGTTCAAACGGAAGATTCAAGAGAAGCATAAAAAGGTAAACATGAAAGAGTAATCATAAGGCACTCAATAAAGTTAAACTGTTTATGGGAAGATGATACATATAACTCCTAAGAACTTTATTATATTAGGGCAGTTAAGAGGAGTTTTTAAGGGCATGGGTGTGAGTCAGTTATGTTGGAACAATATCCAAAAAAAATGAAGGGGTAAGAATGAGGGATACACTAGGAGAATGGAGAATTGGTTTGGGAGAAATTTTCTTGCATAAAAGAAGTGCACAAGTGAATTTCACAATGCAGGAGAAAATGGGGGGGGGCGGTGGGCAACATTTGAACCTCACTCTCATTGGAATTAGTTCAAAGAAGAATAAATATACACACTTGTTGTATATAGAAATATAACTTACCCAATAGGGAAATAAGAGGTAAAGAGGATGAGAGAAAGGTGGGGGGGGGGATGAGAAAAAAGGAGGGCAGGTTAGAAGCAAAATAGACTTTTGAGGAGTGACAGGATAAAAAGAGAGAGAAGAAGAAACAGAAGAAAATGGGATGAAGGGAAATACACAGTAATTATAATTGTAAATATGAATGGGATGAGCTCACCCATAAAAGAGAAGCAGATAGCAGAATGGGTCAGAAATCAGAATCTAACAATATGTTGTTTGCAAGAGACAGAGTTGAAACAGAAAGACACACAGTTAAAAACAAAGGGCTAGAGCAGAATCTAATATGCTTTAGCTGAAGTAAAAAAGGCAGGTTGGCAATCATGATCTCAGACAAAACAAAAGCAAAAATAAACCTAGTTAAAAGAGATAATCAGGCAAACTACATTATGCTAAAAGGTACCCTGGACAATGAAGTAATATCAAAAGATTTTACAAGTTTCTCTGATAAAGGCCTCATTTCTCAAATATATACTGAGTATAGAACTGAGTCAAATTTATAAAAATAAGTGCCGTTTCCCAACTAGCAAATGGTTAAAGAATGTGAAAAGGCAGTTTTCAGAAGAAGAAATCAATGCTATCCATAGCCATATGAAAAAATGCCCTAAATCACTATTGATCAGAGAATGGCAAATTAAAACAACTCATACCTAACAGAAACAACAAATGCTAGAAGAGATTGGAGGAAAATAGGTATATTAATGAACTGCTGGTGGAGTAGTGAACTGGTCCAACCATTCTGAAGAACAATTTGGAACTATGCCTAAATGGCTTTAAAACTGTGCATACTTTTTGATCCAACAATACTACTACTAGGTCCATAACCCAAAGAGATCAAAGACAAAGGAAAAGGACATATCTGTACAAAAATATTTATAGCAGCTCTTTTTGTGGTGGCAAAGAATTGGAAATTGAGAGGATACTCATCAATTGGGGAATGGCTGAACATGTTGTGACATATGATTGTGATGGAGTATTACTGTGCTATAAGAAATGACAGGGGGAGGGTATGGCAAGACCTATATGAACTGATGCAAAAAGTGCAGTGAGAAGAACCAGGAGATCATTGTGCACAGTAACAACAATATTATAATGATGATAAACCGTGAAAGACTTGGCTGCTATGTTCAATACAATGATCCAAGATAATTCCAAAAGACTTATGATGGAAAAATTCTATCCACCTCCAGAGAGGGGACTGATTAACTCTGAGTGCAAAGTGAAGTATAGTTTTCTCACTTTCCTAGTTCTTCTTGCTTTTAAAAATATGCTAATATCAAAATATCTTATGCACAATTTCTCATGTATAATTGATTTCATATTGCTTGCCTTCTCAGCAGGGATGGGAAGGGATGGGAGGGAGGAAGAGAATTTGGAACTCTGGGTCTCAGTGGTTTCATCTGAGAAATAAGATGATTGCCCTGTATGACCTCTAAGGTCCCTTTTAAGTCTAAAATTCTATGATTGTTAAGATAATATCTGTGGCATTGGGTTCCTGGACTATTTTCAACTCACTAGCTCTGGGGCCAAAGCAGAGTAAACCAGTCTTGGAAATAACCATTTGACTGCTTGCCCAGGGCAAATAATAATTTATACCAGGCAGTTGGAAAGAATCTCATTTTCATTCATTTTTCTCATTAGATACATCCATGAGTGGGAACAGGCTGGTGGAGGATAGGGGTGAGGGGTGGAGCAGGGAGTGAAGATGAGGATTTGGTTTGGCAAATACAATGACATAATTTTCAAGGCTGCTTTAAACTTTGTCTGATGTCTGTCTTATTGTATTACACCCTAAGTCATAAAGCCACATAATCTACTTCCTAAGTAATTCATCTTTCCAGTGAAGCTTTCATGATTTCATTCATGGATCCTCTCCATACTAATAATGAAGGTCCTAGTTTGATTACGTGTCAGAATAAAGAGACCTTAGATCCCTCACTCATCTACTAGCAGTCTTTATGTACCATTACAAATGGAAATAGTTTCCAGTCACTATGGGCCTGCACAAGGGTTTTGGCAGTGAAAGGCTTCAGAAGATTCTATTAATTCCTCAGTCAATCAGTTCCATGTACTTTTACTTTTCAAAAAGGAAAGAAAAGAAGAAAAAAGGAAACCATGGTGATCAAAAAATTGTTTCATATAAATGGTTCTATGTGTTTGACTGGCAGCTCTGTGATTTAGTTTGGTCAGTAGCAGTCATAGCCAAAAGCCAATTTTTCTTTACCGGATCCTATTATGCTACTTGTTATTGGGACATGATATATATCAGATAGTATTTGTTCCTTAACGCTAATGCAGTTTAATTATTGATCATCTGTTCCGGTCAAGGGAAAAAAGACCTACTCTTTTGTTAGTATTATTGCTCTAAAAAGGAGTACCTATTATATGAGTAACAGGTGGCAAATTATTAATACATACAAGAAGATTAGAGATATGAATGGTAGGTTGGTTTCATGATAGACAGTAGCCCAGTCTGACTGGTCTCAGCCTAATTAAGGTCTCTGCTGATACATATGTAACAGTGACTAGTCTGGCCCCCATTGCCTGAGTGCTAGATATGTTACATCTCACCCTTCTCCATGGGTTCTCAGGTGAGATGAATGAAAAGTCTGAGGGAGTTTATACGTAATTAATAATCAATTTATTAATAATATTGGCAAATAATCAATAAATTGAGGTCAGTGCTTTCTCTCGTAACCAAAGACCCCACATGGAGGCAGTTGAATGTTTAAATAGCATTGGAAAAGGGGGTGTCCCTGAGGGTGAAAGTCAACTCTGATTGGTCAACACTTAATGAGGGAATGAATATTATAATGAGAGGTGGGCTTTTTCTAATGAGGGGCTGGCAGATGTTTCTCTGATCATGTCAGCATTTTCCCATATCATTCCACCTCCAGCAATCTATTCAAAAGAATCTATTCTCTACTCAGTCTTAGCTGAGTAGAATAATGATAGGATTACAGTAAGACTTTCATCTAGATAATATGATCTGGGTGGGGTGAATTTTTGGCCCAGGTCAAAAATGTCCTCAAGAAGCTGAGCTTTGAATGAGTAAGCAAAAAGAGAGGATCTTTGGGTCCCGTATATAAAATTGATTATTAAAATAAGAAAATAATCATTTTAATAGGATCCTTTAATGGGGCATATCTAGGCTATTAGCTCAGACCCCCACTAACTGTCTTCCCCACTTAACAATCAGATTAGCTTTTACATAGGAATATTTACTTTAAAGATAGAGGAAACAAATATATAAACATCCCCCCCTCCCAATACCTAGGGGCCATAATCTACTTCCCTACACTACCCCAGTCTCTGGGCAGGGGGGAGTGATTAGGTTCACAGATCAGCTCAATTCCTATATAGCATTGGTCCCACCAAGTTCCAAGTGCAAAGCACCCCTGGGCTCAAGTCCTGACATATTGGCTTCTCCAGACTTCCCTGCTGGGCTGGCAGCAACATCTGGTCTGGTCCCCATGGCTTAATTTCCCAGGTCAGGGACCTCCACCACCTGCACCTAGAACTGAAAAGAACAAATAAAATAGACCAGAACCCCAAGTCTGTTTCTTGGAGCCTTAGGGCTTATACACGAAGGGAGGGTGGCCCTTCCTCCACCCAGCTTAGTGCATTGTGCCCATGTTGCAAGGGAATAAAATATTCCCTGGAAACAAACTCCTGGACACCACCAGAGAGAAGACTGTCCCAGCCTGGTAGTTTTAAAGACCTAGGCAGTTCACATTATGTAGCCAATAGAATGAGACTGTTCCCACCCACATGGTTGAGGAATGAAGAATATCTTCTCTGAGAACCAGGTCGCAGTATTTTCCACATCGGTATTTCCATGATAGGTGATGTGGACATGGGTCAAAGCCAGGTAAACCTATAAATAAATACTCAAACATTCCTTGCTTTTCTATCTCATCTCCCTATGCCCCCAGAAATATCTAATTCAGTTATAAATATTTACATGCAACAGAAGGTAATATTCACCCTTTTGACTGGAAACTGGCTTTTAAAAAGAAAAGTCTTCTTTTTGTTGTTTGTTTTTGTTTTTTGGCTAGGCAATGGGGTTAAGTGACTTGCCCAGGGTCACACAGCTAAGTGTTACGTACCTGAGGCCAGATTTGAACTCAGGTCCTCGTGAATCCAGGGCCGGTACTCTAATCCACTGCACCACCTAGCTGCCCCAAGAGAAGTCTTCTTTAGAATCATCCACAGAACCTTGGATTGAAGCTGGTAGAGCTTCACAATGATATGATAGAAAACTAACACAGGAGATAGATAAAGATTTTTGTCAAAAACAGTAATAATGATACTCTTGAAGTTCTCATCACATTTTGATGTATGGGAGGCTGTTGTCCCCCAGTACTTGACAGCCTTTCATTGTGCGGGATGGAGGCTAGCAACTGGTTGGAGAGAGAAGCTATCATAACAATAACTTTTGGCGCACACACTCACACACACACACACACACACACACACACACACACACACACCAGATCAGTGAACTCATGTTTCACTCAAATAATGACATTTAAATAGCTGATTCCAAACATTTTATTCACAGTCTACTCTCCCTCTTTAACAAATAAGAAACTGAGGCACACAGGTTCAGAGCCCATAGTGGCAATAGCATAGTGTAGTGAGAAGTTCACAAAACTTAGAACTGGAAGATCTGAATTCAACTAACACCTGCTCCTGAAACTTACTACCTCTCTGAACTTGGAAAAATCACTTGCCCTTCCCAAGTCTCAGTGTTTTGATTTGTAAAATAGAAATAATAATGCCTACCCTGCCTGTCTCTCAGTGTATAAGGATCACATGAGATGGTGTATGTCAATTGCTCTGTAACCATAAAAAGCTATACAAGCACAAGCTACGTAGTAGGCAACACCCTAGTGAAAGGTTTCTCTCAACACACATAGTATCGAGGCATGTCTTAACATGTCTTTAAATGGAAAATATCATTTCTTCAATAGTAGCCAAATGGAAGCATGTCTCTCCCTTGTAGTTGAAACAGACTTTTGCCTGAGGGTTGGTTGGACTCCTAAAACATGTTGAAAGCATGACCATCAGTCACCCTCCCCAACCTCCATGGGAAAGAGTCTGATGGAGACACATAAGTACTGAACATCGATTTCAAAATGTTGGGATTTGGGGAGGGGGGTACAAAATGCACTTCCAGTTAAGATAATCTGGTAGGTTTTTTTTTAAACTGCCATATACTTCATCTGCATATGATGGGTAGACTAAAATTTATATCTAGAATCCTAACTTCAGCCATTATACTCTTTATACTCTCAATGAAAAGAATTAGATGATAAACAAAAGAAAATTGAGCTGTCATAGTGTTTGAGCTAGAAAGGATCTTTAGAGAGCATCTTAGTATTTAAAACCTTCAACAATACGACTCTTATGTACTTTTCCCATCTCATTTCATATTAGTTCCTTTTTCTCACTTTTCATTCTAGCCCAACTCACTTGATAACTGTTCTTTTCACATGACTCCATCTCTCATCTCTGCTTTTGTATCACTGAACCCAAACATCTGGAACATTCTGTTCTCTTCTCCTCCCTCTCTCTCTCTCTCTCCTGTTGTCTTACCTTCTCTGTCTCCCATTCTGTGTCTCTTTCTCTTTTCCCCAATAGAAACTCCTTGAAGGATGGTTTCATTTTTGTCTTTGTATTCATAGTACACATTGATAAATGTTTGTTGCATTGAGTTGAATTAAATCTATTCCAGCCCCATCATGTTATAGATGAGGAAACTGAGGCCCAACAAAATGTTTTATATCTTGTCAGACGAATTCACTGGTGTTTTTACTTAGCTATTTTTCTTTGTTATGAGGAAGAGTTCAATTTTGAAATAGGAGGGGAGAATATTTCCAGAAATTAATGTGAGGTGTGTGTCAGACAGAGAGAGAGAGAGAGAGAGAGAGAGAGAGAGAGAGAGAGAGAGAGA